CTGTAAGTGTAGTTCGCAGGCGCTACAGCAGGACATACACATGTATGTACCACAGTAGCTGAGATCGGGCGCGGTAGTCTGCAGTCACCACACGCAAAGAGGACGACAACTATGCCGTACCTCCAGTGGTTAATTAGCATGTGTATAGTGTATAGCCGTTCACAGCATGAGAACAGGTTGAGTCTGAACATGAGTTCATTTTTGCCTGTAGTGACCATGTCTGTGAACGTTACTGTATATATGTACCGCTGCCACAGGGCCCTTGAGTCTAAAGATTAGCAACGCAGTCAGTGGTGAAAAGCCCGGCAGTTTAACATTATGCTTCAGCTTTGTGTCCTTTCGATTGAATTTTCTGCTATGGGCCCCTTTCTGCCTCAGTATGTCTCTCTCTCTCTCTCTCTCTCTCTCTCTCTCTGCATCTGTAAGCAGAGGCCTCGCCAGAGCGGCGCTCGCCGTCACCCACCGAGCGTCCGTCCTCCACGCCACTGAGCTTCGATGCTCGGGAGACTCAAGGGCTTCAGCATCATGGATCATCATGGTTCACTGGTACACTGCTAAAGTACTTCAGACCACTTGGCCAAGCGAGCGCTATTGCCAGAAGTTTCTCTTTGTGTGTCTTTCTACTTGTATGTTTTTCTTCCGTGCAACAGGCTGAAGAGACAAGTAGGTTCGTTTTTGAGGAAGAGGCAACCCCCCCCCCCCCATGATGGCGAAACCTCTTGTCAAGCGGCTTCCTTGAGTTTATTGAGCGGGGTCCTTCAACAAAGCCATAGTGCAGGACGGTCAGTATGGCCATCGGTTGGTGGACCTCGTGAACAATTGGAACGAGGCCAGAAATAGGAGACACTCAGACAAGACAGACTCCCACTCTTTTTTCTGTGCTTCCGCAAGCTTTGCGAAAAAGCGTTCTTTCGCCTCGGAGGACACCCGGCGCATGCTTCGAGAGGAGCTGACCTTGCACTCCCGGGCCGAGCTGACGCCCCTTGGCGGCCACCAGGTCACCAGCAGGGGCCTTCAAGCTTGCTGTCTCTAAGGAAGGAGTCGAAGAGAAAAAATAAAGTCTTCTCTGCATCTGGGCATCGCTGCTGTTGCTAATGCTGGCTTCTCGCCAAGGCAGCCTTCCTCTCCGGCCCCTCTGGATGATTCTTCTTTACAGACGAATCTGCAGACCATATTGGCCGAACCGTGGATTGGATTTGCTTGCTTTTTTCTTTGATCGCAGCGTTTCGACAGTGTTCATGTTCGCGGGAAGGCAGTGTCAGGCTTTGCTGGGATAGGTGACTTGCGTGTTTTGCGAGCAAATCCAACGGAGAACCCCAGGCAGTTTCAAGGCTGCGACTGCTGTTGGCTAAGGAAGTGAGACACTTGCAGCACCAGTCTGCAGGTTGGTGCGATCACTGTGGGGCTCTCGGACGAGTAGCCATTGCTCAGGAGGCACGCCACCGTCAAAAATAGTACAGATCTCTCTCTATCTTCTTGGCGGAGTTTCGGCTTTTGCAGCTATCTCCAACCAGCAGACCCGAGCTGAGCTGCTAGGAGCTGACTGAGATGGTTCGCGGACACTTGATCCTCGAGCGGACCAGCACGCCTAATCGATGCTTTGCACATCTGGGCAGAGAGCTCCACACATAGGCAGACTTGCCTTCATCTTGCTTTCAACGGGTGCAAGCTTAAGGAACTGCATGCGCCACGCCGAGCACAACGGCTTCAGACACACAGGCAAAGCGGTTGTTTGGGATATTTGAGCGATGCTTCTGGCAAACCTGATCAGGCCACGCTACAAAAGCTGGGCACCGAGCTGACATCAGCCTTTGAGGAGATGCAGAAGGCATTGAAAGGGACTCTTGGCGACAATACCTACTAGAATGCCTGCTCAGCCGCGTAGCTCCCGGCAATGTTTGCAACTCTCTCTTCGACTCAGGAGTGCAACGCTCGTGGAAGATGCGAGGCGCATCCATGATCAGCAGCCAAAACAGCCTTCTGTCGCTCTAGACAACGAGCCGTTGTTGAGTGACCCTTTGCAGCAGTGGTAGACCTTGTCCTTGCGCATGTGGTTCGGCAGAGTTGATGCATAGCCCTGGAGCATGCAAGGATCTCCGGCAGGTGAAGGCCCGCGATTTGCAACGCAAAGCCGAGTGTATTCGGAAGCGATCAAGTCTGTCCTGAGCCAGGAGCTGATTGGAAGCGCATCCGGCACTTCGCTGGCAGCAGATGTGAGGGACCTTAAGGTGGGGCTTGGAATTCTTGGCAGACAAAACCAGGCAGTCCTTTGAGCAGGAATCCCTCTTGCTGGTGCAGCGGAAGAGTGAGCAGGCCGTGCTTGCACCCATCCGAAGACACGGTCCTTGCGAAACTGCGCAGGACTCCAAGCATCTTCTTCAACAGCTAGAGTATCTAGCCGACATCGTCACGGTGAGCAACTCCAAGCCACCTGGCATGAACAAGTTGATTCTGCCCTGTCTGTGATGCACGCACTTGACACCAGGGAAGAGGACCCTCCTGCTTCACAGTACAACCAACAGAAGATGCTCGAGGGCCTGCAGCATGTCACTGTGCCTTGTCCGACCTTTGCACGATGCGCGGGAACTTTTCCAGCCCTTCCAAGATCAGTTTTTCTCCGTTTCACGTTCGGGACGCGCTTAGGAGCTCATCAGCATCGACCACCGCAAGGCCCGCGAGGATGCCGAGGTGGTCCGATGGCTCTGCTGTTGTTCCGCCTATCTGGACCGAGCTGGCACATCGATCGAGAAGGGAAGCCAGCTGCTCCGCATAGCCGAGTCTGAGAAGCGGGGACTGGAGGTGGTCGTGTCCATGGATTGTGGCTGGGGCATGCCTGTGGCGTCAGGTAGGTGTCAGGTCTGCTGCTCTGAACTCATGCGGCCACGAAAAACAAATCAAAAGCAGCCGTGGACGAGCTGCATGGGCACACTGCGAAAAGTGACAATCAGGAAAGAGCTCGGCACAGAGCGGACGGAAGACATGTTGCCTCTGATGCTTGTGCCGGTATGAGGATGACACATCTCTTCACGGGAATAGTGCAAGAGAGTACGTAGCCAGAGATGATGCCAGATTTGCAGCAATGTGGTCCCAGATGTGTTGAAACACAGCCTGACTGCACATACTGCACCAACGCTAAGCATTGCGTGGCGGTGCCTTTAAAGTCACAGTGCATCGCGTGTGACGTTCCCAGCTCTCAGACAACCGTCTGCAGCGGGCTGTCCTAGTCTTCTTCGTGTGCACTTATTAGGAGAGAGGTTCTGAGCATCTTCCACCGCGGATTGTCCCGCTATTCCTCGCGCACCTTTTTCGGGAAGCCCATGGCCTTCGAATACCTGCCCTCTGGAGGCAATATCATGGCAATGGTCTATCATAGTGTACTAATATTTTCGCATATTATAGAATATGATGGTAACATTGTAGTATATGGGATCGTACTTATTTTGGCTGGGCAAGCCGGCCGAGCAGGGCAGGCAAGGCTTGGGGCACGGGGCAGCAGGGCAATCTAGCGGCCTCGGCCTGATGAACTCCGTGCTCTCGGCTCATGGGTGTCTGTGCCATGTGCCTGCGTGGAGGTGGTCCGACGGTCGGTCTGCGTTCTGGAGGCCGAGGTTTGCCAGTTCAAGGAGCCTGAGAAATTTTGCACGTGCTCTCATGTGCTCTCTGTTCTGTCTTCCCACGGTTTTTGTCAGGGAGGGTGCTGAGAGCGCCTCATCAGTTCATCACCCACCGTTTGAGATTTCGTTTCTCTGGATGTTTTGGGTGTAGATTGAGGTTTGATGCTGCGCGTCTTGCTGGAAGTCTAATCATTCCGTTCAGGGATTCTTTCAGGGTTTTGGCGTTTACTACCCAACACAATTGTAGGGTTCGCCACCTATGGTGACTTTAGTGTTTTGTCAGGTTTGCCATCTGTCGCTCCTTTGGGAAGCCGAGCTTGCCACACATCGACCCATTGACGGTTGCCGCCTTCTTGCTCGCCCGCATCGTAGTGGAGGGGCACAACCCGTAAGCGTAGGCGGCTTAGCTTCGCTTGTTGTCGGGCCGGTGGGCACTGGAGGCATATGCCAAGGCAGAGAACAGCTCCAGCAGTTCACCTGACAGCAGAACACAACACGTTGAACGTATACATAGGCTATGCAAGGCCTGACTGCAGACGCTGAAGCTGTGGGGAACCCTCTGCCCACTGTGTCAGGAGTCTGTGACGACCTCGCTGCAGCAGTCGGCGGAGGAGAGGGGCCGTTCATAGTTGTTGTCATCTCAAAAAACGGCCATATCTTGTCCTCAAGCGGAGGAGATGTTGCGACGGCTGAAGGTCCTCGAAGATCTGGTTGCCACCAGCCAGCAGACAGCTCAGCAGCTTGGCAGTGTTTGGTGTCTGCTGATGTTTGCAGGGTCCCAACAGTCTCTCTGCCACCTCAATGCACCACTGCATCATTACTTCGGACGAAGCCCAGTACCCCAAACAACCAAGCCTTTCGTTTGGAGCCAGTCGAAGATCATATCAAGTATCATTCAAGCATGGAGATGTAACTGTGCAGTTTTACAGGCAGAAGACCGCTCTGCAGCTGGACTCTTGGGCAAGAATCTCCCTGCCGGGACCGTGAGGTTTCAGGGATATTTGATGATATTTGCCCGGCAAGACAGGCCTCAGCGTGTCCTATGGAGCTGTCGAAAGCGGTTTCAGACACCGACCCAAGGAACCCCACAACACACTAGTGCGAACTAAAGGAGAGCGAGCAGGAGCCATGGAGGAAGGGCTTGGGGGAAATTAGAAGCCAGCCAATCTGCTTGGAAATGCTAATGCGGTGCTTAGAGGGTCATGCCTCCTCTCACAGATAGGAAACGACACGGGTCGTGTTGTCAGCTTCGGGTTACGCTATTCAGCGAGCACTGGCACGGAGGATACGAGGTCTGGTTTGGGCTTGAGTTTTGCTTGGTAGTGTACGCTTTGCACGCTTTGCAAAAGCGGATTCTCAATTTTCGGTTATATCCGCGGAAATGTCATGAGCCTTGCATTGGTTGTCTTCCGCTCCATGATCTTGGCCGTTCCGATGGCTTTCGCCTGCTTGATCAGGGCTGCCTGCTCTCTTCCAATTGGGATTCGATTCTTCACTACGATTTTGTCGACAAGCCAGCCAGGGGTCATCGGCTACTGCGGCGATCTGAGGAGAACGTGGACCAGAAGGTGTTGCTGCAATCCAGTGCTGTTGCGGATGTCAAGCAGGAGTGCGGAGCTGCTGCTTGCCGGTTCTGATGCCCATGTACCTGTGATAAGAGCTCTTTCTGCCGCCAGCTTGCCGACGAGGATGTTCTGTCGATGAAGGATCATGTCCTTCAATGTGAAGAGAGACTCAAAAAGGCACCCCGCCAAGCAGATCTGACCGCGGCGGTGAAGAGAACTTTCGAGGAGATGTCCCAAGAGTTTCATGCAGAGTGTATCTCTGGTTGCAATAAGGGTGCGCAGGCGTATGCTGTCATTTCGAGTACTGACCACGCGCGATTGCCCAAACATATGCTGAGGCAGACAACTCTACCTGAAGCCGAGCTTCCAGGTGCCTTTGCCAGCAACCCTTTCCGGTCTCCTCGTCACACAGCCAGGTGAGCTTCCCGGATTCGTTGAACCAGGACTGACTCAACTGACCCCACACCAAGCTGCTTTGAACTCGATCTAGATGGAACAATGCCGAGGACCTACGTGAGATCAAGGAGGCCGTGGAAACGGAGAGGCGTGAGCGGGAGCAGTCCACGGCCGTCTGGCTGAAATGGGCTGGCCAATTCGAGCTTGGAAATCTCACGTCCCAGGTCGCATCCTCGGCGGAGTTCACGAATCTTACCAAGGAGGTGCAGAAGATGGGACAGGCGTGTACCACAGCATTGTCTGCGGAAGAGGCTGAGCATCGTGGCGAGATGCGCAGGACGTTCAGGGGCTTGAGGTCACCGTCACTGAGCGGGTGATGTCCGAAGTTCAACACGTTCAAGATATCTTCGCGATTCTGGTACCTCGACGGCCCATGGAAAAGGAAATGCCAGAAAAAGGTAGAGGGAGCCGGGGCTGGGCCTCTCAGGAGAGCAACTTCCTGGGAGTGGTGCGGAACCAGCTCGACAAGGCGACGGCCTCCTTCTCCAGCACGCCACCCGTCGCAGAGATCTATTGATGTCAGGGGTTCTGTAGGTATGCGCCAGATGTTCCTGGGCTTTCTCATCTGACACATAAGGGCATGGGCAAGGCGAGGCGAGGAGGATTCAACATCGATAGGGACCTTGGGGACTGGGGACCCACAGAAGACAACGAAAACAAGGCCGTCCTTGCTCGCCAGCTGTACTGTTTCATCTGCGACCCCAGGACCTCCATGTTCAGGAGAAGTTTGAGGCGGGATGTGGAGAAGATGCTGAAGGACACTACTTCTGGCCAGGCGAGCAGGAGCTCACAATTTCGTGCTGGATGAGGTACCGCATAGTGAGTTCCGATCCTGATCGCAGGCACATCGATCGCAACCCACAGCTCCAGCTGCGGAGGAGCCAGAAGACGCAACGCCGGGATTCCCAGTGAGATGTCTAGACAACGACAGGCAACTTGCATGATTCCAAGGCACTCCTGCAAGATGATCGAGACCATCTTTGCTTGCTTCAGCACCTTCGTCGCCTTCTCAGCCATGACGTCGAAATCCAGGAGGTGCAGATTCGTAGAGTCGTTAGGAGTTCTGCTTGCTCGTCACCAGCGCGATGCTGGAGCTGCAGACTCAAGAAAGATTCCTGGCGGCCATCGCCATCGTGCTAGGCAGGGCTAGTCTTCGCTGAACTCCGCTGATCCCATCACTTGATTATTGTGTGTTCAATGCGATCGCCGGAAAGTGGTCCATGTTCATGTCCATGGCAATCCAGACGTCAGGATCCGATGTTTGCACAGAGGTTTGCACAGGAGGCAGGAAACTGGCCTCCGAAGACTCGCTGACAAGAAATTCGCATTCACCAGGAGAGTTTATGCCCATCGCTGTACACCGTTTTAAAGAATCTCTTCGAATGCTTCAAGGAGGCAGAAAGCAGCCATTTTGTCAGCAGATCCCTGCCCAATCCGAGCCAGCGGCATCATCTGCACATCCTCCCTCTGTCCTGGCATCGGCTTTCAGACACTGCTGCGATCCAACACCGTCGCCTCCGGGCTTCTATCCTCCGCCTGGTTTGTAAGCATTGTTTGCGAGGATCTTTCGATGATGGAACTCCGCACAGTTAATCGGAGTAGGAGCTTAGCAGCTTAGTCCTCTCTTGGCAGGTCCATACCTGCTCAACTGTGCTACATCCTGAGCCTGGGCTTCCAGTACATTATAGAGTAAATGCCCTCACTGCCGAGGTGGTGGTGCTGATTTTCTTCTTCCTTCTGACCGATGCATTGGCCAGGTCTGGCCGCCAGCTTGCCTTTCTTGTGTGCATTGCCTGGGACGTAAAGAGGGGGGGAGAGAGCTGAAGAGAGAGCATGGCAGGTGGATGAGGCAGAACTGGGGCCATGCGCAGCGGCTCCTGGCCCTGGCAGTGCTGAGGCACTCTGGGGGGAGCAGACAACAGAACTCCTCCTGAATGAAGTTGTGGTTGTGCCAGCTGCTAGCTGTGCGTCTGCCTGTCAGACCGGACTGGCTGCGCGTCTTCAGTCTCTATGCACCGCAGCTGCGGTCAGCGCCGAGCGCCTGGGAACAGCGCCGTTGGCAAGAGGCCCTCCGGAGGCGTACCGCACTGCTGCAGCAGGACGTGGAGATGAGCAACGGCATTTTTCAACCATTGGAGTTCAGGTTGTTTCCTGCCAGTGTCATGAAGCTCGACTTTTTCGCACTTAGGAACTTTGTGTTTCTATGGTCAGCGCCTCCCCACGGCTCAGCCTGTAGGGCCTCATCTCCGTGAACGGAAAAGCCAAGGAATATGAAAACCAGTCGGGTGCAGGGAAGGTTTGGGAAGTGTTGCGGTGCAAAACGTCACTCCACCCCGTTTTCCATGAAGGTTTCTCAAAGCTGCGGGCAGGGTTACCGATCCAGTTGGGACGATGCGCCAGCTCGAGATGTGCGTGCGCTGGCTTAAGTGCAGGAGTGTGACGAGCTCAAGCTGTTGGTTCGGCCGACGGAGGCGACGGAGGTGACAGATCTGCACAAAATCCTCGGTGAAGTAGCAGGTGGCGCACCACACCCCGGACGTCGAGGCATATCGCCCGCAGGTGGGAGCAGCACAATCGTCAAATAACTCAGCATGTCCGCACTCCGCAGATGGAACGCAGAACCCCCCATGATGGCTAGAGGCTAGATCGGACCAACACGAGTCCTTCCGGATAGTAGCGGCACGTTTGCCTGCTGCCCCATGAGTGAGTCCCCGATGTTGGTTGCCGGGTGGACCTGGCATGCGTGGAGTGTCAGGTGACTGCACTCCACGAGCCACAGCATGGCATGCGCCGCGCACTCATCATGAGCTTTGAAAAAGATTCAGAGGACCGCAGCAATCTGCTTTGTTTCACCCAGGCACACCGGCAGCGGCTCATGCACACGTAACTCTCCGGAACCACCATACCAGCAGCCATCAGGCTGGGCTCGCCCCGAGTAGCGGCGTAGCGTAGCAAAAAGAACCGCAAAACCTCTGAGGATGCACCACCACCACTGGACAGCTCGGGGCTTGCGCCTTCTGCACCCTTGAGGCAGCGACAGGCATTTGCTTGTACGTTTGCACCTTGGCCATAATTAGGCAGCTTTTGCCGCGACCAGGTCAACCAGCATCCCTGCTGCCACAGGCCAGGCAGCTTTTCTCGGAGCAGAGAACCGCAAACGACGCACAACAGCGGCCAGCCCACAGGTGCAGCGCCTCCGACTTCGCCGCTGCGGAATCGAGAGTGGGACGGATGGCTCAGGCAGCGTCGGCTGAGTTGGCCTGGACACCCTTCCGGACCCCATGTCACTGCAGGACGCACTCGCAGCAAGAGGCGCAGCGAAGCACAGGACGCCCGATGCAGATCAAAAGAGGTCTTTAATCAGGATCAAAAGTAATCTAATTGGGCTCAGCGAAAAACTCACATATCATCAAGAACAAGACTATGCCCCACGGCTGCCTGCTCTACGATGACTAAGTTACGATCATGATCATTACGATTACTATGACATTACTACTAGTATCACGATCAGGACTATTATTCGTACTACATGTTTACGGATATTGCTAACAATAATGCTCACTAAGATATTACTTGTTTACGGTTTTGACTTCACATTTTTGTTACTCTTGTTGCCATTCTTACTAGTATGCCTGTGACTGTAGCGTTTGTCTCATGCTGTCATTACTGTTATCACTTGTGTCAATATTATTACCGTTATCATACACACGCGCGCGCATACCATATTACGATACTTCTAGTATTTCCAGTACTCTTGGTTTTGCTGTCATCCTGCTGTTACGAATATTGAATACTGGTATTATGATTATCATTGTTATTACAACAAATTGTTCTTAGTATTGCTATGATAGTACTACAAGTACTGCTATGATCATTATGATTGCTATTGCTGTTGGTATCATTATCAATATCACTATTACTATCATTCCTCTTATTACAGTTTTTTATTGCAGTGATTACTATCATTACTTGGTTTTGCTTCTTTCATACTACTGCTACTACTACTGCTACTACTACCACTAC